GCGGTCTCCATGTTGCTCCGCCTTCAGTCAATGCTGGTGAGTAGGGTGGTGTTTGTGGCTTCCTGGTCTCAGACACGCTCCACACTCCCCTCCCTTCACGCCCAATCGCCAGGTGCAGATGTTGACGTGCACGGAACCCAGAATGCCTCACCTGGCTCGTTGGCTAGCTCGTCATCGGACAGCCATATCGTAGCAATAGCACTCCCGTAGCCGGCGATTGAGGAGGAGGATGAGTATGGGTATGGCTGTCTGTCGAACCGCCACGCATTGGATGGTTGGGTAGGGTGTCTAGCAGTGCACGGATGGATGGATGGATCGGAGAAAGCCTCGTGGTTGCTGTCACCACTCCCTGGGCGTGTTCAAGCTTTCCACACTTTCGATCGTGCTTCCGAGGGGAGTAACGACGAGCACAGACCACGAAACAGAGAGCACGTTCACCCGCCATATTGCGCATTAAGGGGTACAAATGCGACGATCACGCTAGCATTACTGCTAAAGACAGTTGCTTTACAGAAGAGCTATGCGTAAGACTTTTTTTGCTACTTTAGTGTTTAACTACCCTTCTGCACTTCTAAAACTATACTTTAAGCATAACTATAGGCTTGTAGAGCGTTATTACCTTTCCATGTAAAGGTCTACATATATGTCATTACTAGTAACAACTTTGATAGCCATGAAAAACAGTTATACTTTATATTGTAAGTAAAGAACTACGATACTAAAAGAGATATACTAGAATTCTAAACTATAAAGAGTAACTAAATAGCTACAACTAAAGCTTTACATGCTCTTGGAATGTTATATAGAGCTTCAACTGAGATACTAAGCTAGTAGTCTATTATACAACATACTTATTATCTGCCAAGCAATATTACGATTTTATTGATACCTTAATGTTAAGACACTAATAGAGACCGTTTTAAGTACTTGCTGTATTCTATTGACCTGCTACCTGCTCACTACAAATCTACTCATCAACTATAATCCGAAACCTGAATTGGAACTACTCCTTGTTCTTAGTGGCAGGCGCTAATGAGGTTCCGGCATGCCATGATCTCCACGGCATCACCCGGTTGCCGCTGTCACTTCGCTGATCAACCCGACAACGAGCTCCTCGTCCGTTACGTGCATACGTAACTTCCCAACCTGTTAGACTAAGACTGACAGGAGCGACTCAGAATGCCGCGCGACCCCCTCATCGCCCTCGTCGGCAAGCCCTCCAGTGGCAAATCGACCACCCTGAACAGCTTGACCGACACCACAGCCAAAGTAGGTGCGCCATCCCCCGCACACACTTCCCCTAACACCCTACTCACCGCTGCTGCCTAGGCAACTTCCCTTTCACGACCATCGACCCCAACCGCGCGATAGGCTACCTTCACCTCCCCTGCGCCTGCTCCCGCACTTCCCTCCCCAATAACATCCCACCTTCCCCCTCCGCCCCTACACCCCTCCATCTTCGCTGCAAACCCAACTACGGCGCCTGTCTGGATGGCGTCCGCAGTGTCCCGATCGAACTGCTCGACGTTGCCGGCCTGGTTCCTGGAGCCCATTTAGGCAAAGGCCTGGGCAACAAGTTCCTCGATGACCTTCGACACGCCGACGCCCTGATCCACGTGGTCGATGTTTCCGGCACGACAGACCAAGAGGGGAAAGCAACACGGGGCTATGATCCCAGCGCCGATATTGCCTGGCTACGCGACGAGATTGTACGTTGGGTGTTGGGGAACTTGATGCTGAAATGGGGCGGCTTGAAAAGGAGACATACCGCTATCAAAGCCACGGCGGTGGAGACGCTGCAAGGGCAGTTTTCGGGCTATGGATCTACTTCCGCCGTCGTGGCGCGGACGCTAGATCGCTTGGCGCTGAAGCAACCGCTGCAGGACTGGGATGACAAGACGGTGGAGTTGGTGGTCAATACCTTCGTCGACGAGAAGTTTCCGACGGTCATCGCGCTGAACAAAATTGATCACCCGGACGCCGATAAGAACGTTGCCAAGATCGCGCGCGCGGAACCGGCAGAGCGGTTAGTGCTTTGTTCTGCCATCTCCGAGGTTTTCCTAAGGAGACTGGCGAAGCAGGGCTTTGTGAAGTACTCACCCGGCAGCGAGACTGTGGATACGAGGGAAGACCTCGTCGAGCAAGGTGACCCGGATGGTGGCGGCCTGAAGGAGACGGACGAGAAACTCCGTACACGGATCGAAAACCTCAAGGACATGGTACTCTATCGCTTTGGCTCCACGGGAGTCAATCAAGTACTCACCCGCGCGTCTGAAGTTCTGGGATTAGTCCCAGTGTTTCCAGTACGGAACATTGCGTCTTTCGGAAGTGGCGACGGAGGTGGTGCCGGAGAGAGAGCGGCCGTGTTCAGGGATTGTGTGCTCGTGAAGAAGGGGAGTACAGTGGGTGATGTGTATCGGAAGGTTATGGGGGATGCGCCGATGGCCTATGTGGAGACGGTGGGAGGCGTGAGGGTGGGGGAGGACGATGAGGTGGGGGTGGGGAAGAATGATGTGAGTTTGTTTGTGAACTCTTGCGGTGGTATCTGGTTTTGGAGGCGCTGTGGGTGTGGGTGAATTTACGCTGACTTTGTGTGGCGCAGATTCTGTCGTTCAAGGTCGGACGGGCGTAGCTGAGGATGCTCGCGACTTTTCATCGGTCTTGGGACGACTCTGCTGAGCGAGACAACACGTCGAACGACTCTGATGAGATGAGACAAGCGATGGTTGCGAACAACAGAATGTCCCGCTGCGCTATCCGAGACTGTGACACTGCCACCTCGTCCTCGCAAGATGTCTACCTCACCTTGACATGAGGTTAAGTACGCATTTTTCCGCTTCTTACAGACGTACACACTTTCTACTTTTCACGCACTAATACTCTCATCTACTTTCCATCAGAGCTGGCCTCCCTTTGCTACATCACCGCGACGATCAAGATCTCTCTAGATATCTCTTTTTTGCACAAACGTCACAACTTGCTTACACACTCGCTGTTATTCTGCAGACACGGAGAGAACAACATCGATCTTTTCCCTTCACTTCAGGATCAGCTTCAACCATGCCTTCCACCCCTCCCCATCGTACGCCCTGCGATACCCACCTCCACCACCGCGGGCGCTGTTTACTTCCTTTCCTTCGCGAGCTGGACTCTGCTGCATCTTCAGCATCAGCCTCGCCCGAACCTTCATCCTCAACCGAAACCCGAGTTGAAGCTGGGGTCGGAGCAGCAGGGGATGGCGCCGCGCTGACCCCCCTTCTCCCTACCCTGGAGCCCGAGCCTATACCGCCTGTAGCGCCACAGACACCACGCCTCTATGCTCCTGTCATCCCCGTCACGCCCTTGCAGGAGCGGCGCAGGAGGAGGGCGAGGGGCGCAATGGATGCGGCTGCTCCGCAACCGTACTGGGGCAGGTACCTCTCGCTTGACGATGAGGCTTCCTGGGACGCGGATGATGAGTATGAGGGCGAAAACGTCTCGCCTCGCACCATGTTGCCACCTCCAATATTTGGCCGTCGCGGTCGTGGGCATATTGCGCCAATCGACATTCCCGGCCTGGGACACAGGGTCGCTGGCATAGCGTCTAGACCTTGGGCGGCGGAGCGCCGGGATGGTGGTGTCTATCTAGAGCAGCGACTGGAAGATGACGAAACATCTAGTGACGACAGCATGCGCACGCCCCACCATATCATCTGCTCGATCGAGGATATACTGGCTTCGCCGTCGCCGCAGTCGCCAGCACATAGACAAGCGTTGACTATACTGGACGCGGGCGTGGATATGGGCGTCGGCCTAGGGATCACCGGTTTGCCGACGTTCACCATGTCTTCGAGGAGTCGATTTCCGGAGGTGCACTGCCCGGTGCGCAGGCCTGTGAGCATGGCGGCTTCGTTGGTGGACGAGGGTTCTGCTTTTGGAGGTCGTCGCCGCAGCAGGGACTCGGGTATCGGTTCAACGGCTTCCAGCGATGATGGCGATTGAATAAGCGGCGGTGGCAGCGAGGACGACAACCGAGGCAGTTCGACGGGCGCGCGTTACAGCCCGGAACAAGGCATCTTCTCCCTCGAGCTTTCGGAGTATCCACCTTCATCGAAGGGGTTTGTTCTCGCGCCACCGCAGCGTCCCGTTCACCCCGTGAGCAGCTGGTCATCGAGTCCCTTTGGAATTCTCTGGCCAGCCGCGAGTGGTGCGTTGGAGTATGCGAGTGTGCCTATGCGGCGCTACGTTGGGAACGGGCGCGTAGACGCGCAGGGGAGGAGAGAGAGGGTGAGTCGATTTGTAGAGGCTGGGATGGATGGGAGTGAGGAGCAGGCGGAGGAGGAGGAGGAGGAGGAGGAGGAGGAGGAGAATGACAAGAGGGTAACATGAGTGGTTGAGATGCTTTGGTTCGGTCTGGAGGGTCTGGTCTGGGTTGGCGGTTACGGGACGGTCGGTGATTTGTCTTCACTTGTCTACGCCCGATGTGTTTAGGCTCATATGGTGTTGATACATAATCGGGAACAACTACACCTGGATCCTGACAAGGCTGAAATGTAAGAGGCTTGGCACTCCATGAAGTAATCACCTCGTCTTTTGTAGCTGTCGTTCGACTTGCACAATTATTGAGACGAGATACGCTCGGTCTCCCACCCATTTCTGTCGGCGAGCTTACCGGGCTGTCCGTGGTCCCGCCCTCTGCCGTGGTATTCTGCGGTCGCCTGAGAGCGCGCGTTAGGAGTCTGAGAGAGACTTGTCGCCATCCACAAGGCATCCACTCGTGCCGCCTTCAATGGGAGCACCGGCTTGCAAGTCTGCGTTCAGCTCCACGCCGACAGGATAAACCGCTCAGCGGATGTTGTAGGCGAACGATCAATGATGATCCGTCCGGCGCACCGGCACAGCGCCTCAACGTTGACGACTAGATAGCCCATATGCTCCGGGACGTCAAACCATATGACTCTGAGTGAGCGCCAAAAGGTAGTAGCGCACCACACGCAATTATGCAGGCTCCGTGCTTCTTATGACGATACCGAGATTCGAACTCGGGTCTATCGAGTGAGAGTCGATAATGATAACCCCTACACCATATCGCCGCTTCTGAATGTCGTCTCTGCTTCCTTGGAGAGGTATAAGGAGCTTGCCGTGAGACAGCCGACATGCAGCCGGACTGCAGGTGTATTCGGCAGGTGCGACATGCAAGTACTGGTGAGCGGCAAGTGGCAAGCGGCAGGAAAGGGGCGGACGATGTACGCATACCGACAGCAGGTGTGCGATTAGTCGCCTCATGGAGGTCTTGAGCTGGGTCCGCCTCAACCATCGCCCTTGGTCGCCAGCCTCCGATACAGATGCATCTGATACCGCATATTCTCCAGCTCAATCGGGTACTCTAGGCCGAGCGGCAGTCTGAACCACCTGCTCTCGTCACTCACGACCTTCTCCCATCTCGCGGCCGTCTCGATGCCGGCTTTCTGCTGTGAGTCACTGAGCAAAGTATGATCCAGCAGCCACTGCATCGGATACTTCCTCTCTGCGCCGTTGATGGAGACGGTAGAGTAGCTCCCCGGACTGTCGACTACGAGTAAAAAGCCATTGGCCGGTAGGGCAGCGGTGAGTTGGGAGAGCAAGTGTTGTGTCTTGGGTATGGAGGCCGAGTACAGCTCGTTGAGCGTGAAAAAGAGAGTCACCAGCTTTGTTGTTGGGGTGATGACGGTGTGCACAACATTTTCGGGCCAATCAAGTACGTCTTGCTGGTGGAAGTGGCATGAGAATGCGTCCCCAGAGAGCATAGGCCTGTTGGCCTCCCTCGCAGCCGCCGATGCGTACTTTGATATCTCGGGCGCGGTCACGCATTGCTTGTGGAGAGTTTCTACCGTGTCGTTCCACGCCGCGATGTCCACAAAGCGAGCTTGTAATGCGATTTTTGGCATGGATCTGGTGACCACGCTCCACCAGCCACCAAGAGCGATTACCTCAGCTCCCGCTCCGCCACCCAAGCAGACAATTTCCAGTGATTCCTGATCCGATTGCCCTAGCCGCGCAAGCTCGTCATCCGGTAGCAGATGGTCTTGAATATCGGCCAGTACCCGTACATACCCCAGAGCCCTCGAGGGGCTCCAGCGCGATGCATACACTCTCAGATACTCCTCCTTCGCAAACGCAGCGGCGAAGTCGCGGTTGTAGAGGTGCCCCTTTACTTCCTGCAAGACCGCCACATCATCAGCACTCGGGCGTAGAGCATCACGGAAGATGGTCAAGCATTTCTGCTGCAGCTCCAGTGGTACAGTGCCCTCACTCTCGTCTGGTCTTGCATGCTCAGTCTTCGCAGACTTCAAGGAATTGGGCTTTCTCGCCTGTTTGGATCTCGATGCAGCTTGTGAGGCTGACCTGGCTTTTGCCATTGCCTACCATCTTCTCTGCAGTTTCACTCGACCGCTTGCTGCAGGTGTAGTGCGAGTGTATTGCCAGGGACGACGACGGTGAGGTGCTTCCTTGAAGTCCAGATGAGGCCCGAGCGTTGGCCGCGGGGAAGCCACGCTGGCAATCACCGCGATCACATGCCAATGCCAAAATTACAGCAATAAATCCCTCTACGCTCCACAATCGAGACCAGGCACACGACAACCACCGTACCTCACATTTACCCACCATGGATCCCTTCAGCCCCGAAGGCGAGCTCCTCAACATCCACACCGCCTTCATCCAAGCCCAATACCCCTCCGTCCTATCCGACTACACCACCTCGGACTTCAGCCCAACCAACCGCCTCCCCGTCCAGATCCTCCAATACCGCGCCCAATGCGCCCTCGGCCAGTCCGACGAAGTCATAGCCAGCATCTCCGACGCCGACGCGCGCTCCACCCCCGACCTGGCCGCCGTACGAACATACGCGAGTTATCTGCAGAAACCCTCCGCGGGTGCGGTGCAGGAAGCTGAGCGCTTGGCGGAGAAGGAGGGGGATAATCTGAGCGTGCAGTTGTTGTGTGGGACTATCCTCGCGCGGGCGGAGAAGGCGGAGCAAGCGCTTCAGTTGCTGGCTAAGCACACTGGGTCTCTGGATGCCGTGGCACTGACGGTGCAGATTCATCTCCTGCAGAATCGGACTGATCTTGCGCTGCAGCAAGCTAAGTCTGCGCGCTCGTTTGCGCAGGATGCGTTGCTGGTCAACTTGGCAGAGAGCTGGGTCGGGATGCGTCAGGGAGGGGAGCAGTACCAGAAGGCTTTCTACGTGTTCGAGGAGCTGGCTCAGTCGCCTTCCTCGGCGTCGGCGATGAGTTTGGTGGCGCAGGCGGTCAGTGAACTGCATCTGGGCCGGATGGAAGAGGCGGAGACGGCGCTCAATGCGGCGTTGGAGATGGAGCCGGAGAACACGACAGCGCTGGCGAATAAGCTGGTGTTGGATGCGGTGACAGGGAGAGACATTGCGGAGGCGAGAACGAAGCTGGAGAGTGCGGACAAGGAGCATGAGATTTTGGCTGATATGATGGCAAAGAGGGAGGGGTTCCACGCGGCTATGGCGAAGTACAGCCCCAAATTTGAGCCGTGAGATAGACAATCTCGAGGCGTCAGCTTAGAAGCATAGCTTTACGGAGTCACGATTCATGGGAAGTCAACAGTCTGATGGCCAGGAAGAGAATCCCGATGCAGCCAGAGCATCAGACATGTAGGATTGGGGCGTCAAAATCGTAGCTTCGGCCCAATGAAAACGAGCAAAAAACACGCAATCCACAATCCGAAGATGAAAGCATACAGCTTGATCCGTCCCCACCAGCCTTGCCCCTCGCTCATCCGCCTCAACATCCCCATCCTCTGCTCCGCCGCCTCCATGCCCTGCGAGCTCTTGTCTAGCCCACCCTCCGCCCGCTTCAGGACATCTTTCTCCGCCTCCAAGGAGGACGAGAACTGCAGCGATGACTCCTTGAGTGCGCGAGCGAGACCTATCAGGCCTGTCGTCAAGGTTTCTTGCTCGGTCCGGTTGTGCGATATTAGCGCTTCGGTGCGGTTGAGACCTGACATGGATGGTTCTGACTCTTTATTACGGCCCGTGAAAAGCTGTTCCCGTGCGGTTGATGAAGCGGCGGTGAGATTGTCGGAGGCACTGAGTGGACGTCTATTACGGATTTCCTGGGCTTGCGGGGCGTCCACGCGCGGACCCTGCGGATCGCCCGTGTCGAGGCCGGCTTCTGTGTCCTTTCTTGCTGGCGCGTAGGCTAGTACACCACCCTCTCCCTCCACGTCCTCTCCGTCTTCATCATCATCACTCTCTTCCTCGTCATTATCTGCCTCATCCAGCTGATTCAGTTCCTGCAACCGCGCCTGCAATCGCTTAATCACCTCCCGTTTCCACTGCAGATCCGCCTGAGTCAGCTGCCGTTGCGTCTGCGCCCGGACGGTCGCGGATTGCTTCTCCAGTGTCAGGAGGAGGGTACGGGCGTATTCGATGTTGGCGCTGACGCGGTTGCGCTCGTACTGCGAGTGCCGTAATCGCGGGTCGGCGGATGTAGGGTCCAGGAGGGAGTGATCGAGCTTGGTGAGCAGGCGGGTGAGGCTTGTTTGGGAGGTGGTGTCCATAGTAGATTGGGTTCGCACGGTTATGTTGTTCGTCGGTCTTGTGTCGCCGTAGAATAGATATCTTGGGCATTGTCTTGGGTTGATATACCATTGTGGCTGTCGTCCGGCAGGAATAGGGCCGGTCGACAAACGTGCATCGGCCCGCGCCTTCTCCGTGACGATCAACGAGCCTTGGCAGTCGACAGCGTGACCTCGCTGCTTCCACACCCGTTTCTTCCTCTTCCTCGATGACCGTTTTCGTGCTCGCTTACTCCGAAGCACGCCACCACTACCATTCTCGTACCTTTGGGGTATGATCAGGGCGAGCCGCGGTGTTATGTGAGTGCATGCGACGAGACGATGATGACTCCGCGTTGCGACTTCGCTTTCATTCCCTGCTGTTGAACCTACTTAACATGCTTTGCTGTCTCCCGCACTCCCCTCATCACTATTACTGCACTCCCCTCTACCATGGACCCAGGCTGCTCCACACCGGACGTCGAGGACGGACGTCGAGCAATATGCGCGGATGCAGCTTGCCAACGGGCCTCCTACCCAGGGATCGTTTCCGCGCCAACACCATCCGCCACCACGACAGGCGGCGACAACAATGACCCAAAGGAAGTCCGCACTTCACCGGGAGCAGCAGCAAGGAACGACGCCCTCGAAACCGCCGCTACCTACCGTTCAAAGCTCAATAGAGGCTGGCGGCGTATCGTCCGGAACTTCACTCCCTCCTGGTTCTCCGTCACGATGGGCACCGGCATTGTCTCCACCCTCCTACACAATCTACCGTACAGCGCTCGATGGCTCTCCTACCTCTCTTACGTCGTCTTCGCGCTCAACGTAGTCTTGTTCGTACTCTTCACGTTCATCAGCCTGCTCAGATACACGCTCTACCCGAAGCTCTGGACCGCGATGATCCGGCACCCGGCGCAGAGCCTGTTCCTTGGCACTTTCCCCATGGGCTTGGCGACTATCATCAACATGCTGGTTTACGCGTGCGTGCCGGCTTGGGGTGGGAATACGTGGAAATTGGCTTGGGGGCTATGGTGGATTGATGCCGTCCTTGCGGTGGCGACGTGTTGCTACTTACCTTTCGTGATGTGAGTCACAGCTTGAGGCAGTACCCCTTGGATGTAGCTGACCATACGCAGCATGGCCCTGCACAACCAGCACGTCGAAACAATCACCGCCGCCTGGCTTCTCCCCATTGTCGCCACGATCGTCGCATCCGCTACGGGAGGCCTCGTCGCCGGCGTCATTCCAGCAACCCACCAGCAAGAAGCCCTAATCACTGTCATCACTTCCTACGTGCTGTGGGGGACCGGTGTCCCTCTCGCCATGTGCGTGCTGGTGGTCTACTTCCTTCGACTGACAACCGCACATCTGCCGCCGAAAGAAGCCGTCGTCAGCACGTTCCTCCCTCTCGGTCCACTGGGAATGGGCGGATTCAGCTTGATGACTTTGGGCAAAGTGTCGCTCACATTATTCGAAAAGACTCACACACTCTCTGCGAGCACGTCCGTCCACGCCGGAGACGTCA